CCAGAAGTTTGGCATCTCTTGCCTGGGCTGGATGGGAGCTTGTGAGGTGCACCACATCCTGTTTGTGCAGCGTGCTGGTGTACTTGGAACCACAGCAAGGCCTGTGATGCAGTAAGTCCTTACAAGGAACCACAGCGAGGTCTGTGATGCAGTAAGTCCTTACAAGGAACCACAGCGAGGCCTGTGATGCAGTAAGTCCTTACAAGGAACCACAGCGAGGTCTGTGATGCAATAGGCCCTTACAAGGAGGGGGGAGCCAACATGAAAACTGGGGGGTGTGGTCTCCCCTTGCGTGTGCAGCTTCCCTGGTGCCTGTAAGCTCCGGGTGGGAGAGGCAGGCCTTCCTCAGAGCAGCAGCAGAGCTATCTGCCTGCATCACTGACGATGCAAACTTCAATGCAAAGCAGGGGAGGGAGAGGAGAGTAGCTTAACTACAAATACAACTTCCTCCACTACTCAACCTATTTTTAGGAACTTCATGAGACAATGGACCAGTTTTCTGAAGACTAGTCAGCACCTAACAAAGTGTTCTTTAAAACAACCGAGCCTAACTGGAACTCAAGTCTGTTTGATCGTCATCCTTGTCCCATCCATGGGCGTGGGTAAGAAACTGAACTGAGTACAGGAGCTGCTGCGGTGCCTGCTCCAACACCCCGTAGCCCTTTATGTTTTCCCCAGGGCAGGGGACACATTCTCCCCTGGCTTTCATTCACTCATTTTTCAAAACCGTGAAAGCTAAAACTCAAATCACCCCCCTAAGCCTGTTTCAAGGCGACAGAAGCGTTTCTGTAGCCACTAGCATGCGCGTTTCCTGCAGGGGAAAGCTTCCAGGACACAGCACAAACCATTCCAGGAGCTCCCATTCCAGCAGGCGGTGGTCAAGTGATAGCCACTGAAGCTGTTCTGCAGCCCTGGGGGGACACCACGCCTGCCCCCGGGGCCTGTACCTCAGCACGGTGCCACCCACTTGAGGGTAAGAATCTGTTTATTGGGAAGAATTAATCTGACAGCACTATAAAAACTGTAGAAAAGGCTTGGGCTGTGCAGGACCACAGCTCTGCTACTCGATCAGGCTGACGAGGCAGTCCCTGTATATCTCCCCTTGCGTGTCCATCCCGCCGAATATTAGCAGCAGATGCACGACCGTCTCTTCAGCACGCCCCTCCTCCTCTCGGCTCTCCTGGAGGGGGCCAGCTGTGCCACCCGCTGACACGGCCAACTCTCTCCCAGCTTTCTGCGCC